CTTCTAAGCTATTACTATAGATAAGGATATCGTCTAAGTATATAATATAAATCGTATTAACGTATCCGGCGAGGGCTTAGTTAATATACCGTTAAAAACTTATAGGGGTATTAGTTAGGCTAAAGGGTATTACGAGGTATTCGAAAAAGCCGTATTTTATACGGAACGCCGTTTTCTATTTATCGCTAGTGCTAATCCGGAGCCGGTGGTAAGCGTCCTTAAGGTCTAGCTTAGTATAGGACTACGCCGAGGATAGACGGTCTAGAAAATTATAAATTAGTGGTAACGGGGTATGATCTTTAATAGTCACCTTATTTAATCCCCTATAATCCACGTAGAGGTGTAACTTATTACCCTTCTTAGGGATAAATAGGATAAAGGCCTTATAGGGACTAGATAATAGTCGGATCTAACCCTTATAGACGGCGTCTTAGATATACTAACGGAGGACGTCGAGCTTTTATACGGCTAGTAGGTAAATAGGGCCGAAAGGGGGCTTTTTCCCTTCCTTAATTTTAATTATATAGTCCTATTATTAATAGGCGGGGAGCCGTCCAGTATCGTTAATATCGAATACGTTAGCGAAATCTTAGTATAGTTTAAGGAGAATAGCCGACTTAGGGGGGGTATTAGATTAATATTAAGGCCTACCCTAGCCACGCGTTAGACTAGTATAGAGGAGGATAGGGTTAAAACCGTCACGGCCTCCCTTATAGCTTTCCGTAGTTCTTATCGGCTTAAGATAACGTGGAAGTCAGAGCGTTCTAAGCGGTAATTCCAGGTATTAGTTTACTAATCGACTATAGAGTTAACGGCTACTAGCTAAGGTCATCCTAGGGTAATTCGGGAGCCTTTAGGGTCTAGGTTTATAACGTGGAATTCAACGCGTTATACTTTTCTTCGTTTTTATCGGTTGGTCGCGAAGATAAGTCGAGTAACAGAGCTAAGGGTGGATTTCTCTTATCCCTCCGTAATCCAGGATATAAGGAGGGGTAGTCTAGAGGGGACTTAGTCGGGACCTAGAAGGGATTAGTCTAAAATATTAATATCGGCTCCCCTATCTAGGAGAGCCGGGGTCTATACCTATTCCTTACCTCGATAAAGGGAAACACGCGCTTTTACCGGTATAGTGGTAGCGGCCGCCGCTTAAGGCGGGGTTAGTTCTTAGGCTATCTCGCCCACTATATAACCTATTATCGGGCGTGTCGGCGAAATAGGTAGTTTATTTAGATTAGCACGAGTAGGGGAGGGGTAAGTACTAGCGTAATAACCCTTCTAGTTATAGTTAAAGTATATAATAAGTTTAATTAGGGTATAAGGGGGCCTAGCCTAATCCTATAGTTCTCTCGGGTTCTTAGCGGTTCTAAGGGGGTTTAAAGTCACCGTTATTCTAAGGAGGGTTCCTTAGCTACGGCTAGTACGGGGGGTATTCGGCTACTATCCCTTTACTAAGGGCTTAATTTTCAGTTACTCGGTCCTTTTATATTTCTTATTATATTCTAGGTAGGTTTTCAGTATTCTATACGTGGATAAGATATAGTCCCGGATTAGGGGTAGGACTCGAGTAAGCACTATCTAGATCCGCTATTAGTCCGGTAGGCGACTAAGGAGTTCCGCTTTTAGGGCTTCCTACCGCTAGATAAACTTCGTAAAGGGTTCGCCGGGCTTTTAGTCCGAATAGTCGTTAGTTTATATATTAAGGGCGACCTCGAGTAAACGCGTATCGTAATCGTCGACTTATTCGCTTAACTAGGTTTTTAGAGCTCCTTAAATAACCCGGGACGAATTATTATTATAGGCGTACCGGAGGTAAGATTACTATCTTTCCTTAAAGTAGTTTAGTAGGGAGGCTATAACGTAGTAGTTCTTTAAGGCGTTATTAGGAAGGCCGTTAGGGTTAATTATAAACCGTTACTTTACCTCCTAGATAAACGTCCGGTATTTTACCGACGACTCGCTATTCTACTTAAGGACTATATAGTTAACCTTCGCCTATAAGGAATTAGCCCTAGATTTAGCAAGGGTCTAGGGGGGATTAGCCTTAACGTGGCCCCGAATTATAGAAGAAGAGGGAATAGAGGACTAGGTATTTAGAACGGAGCGACGGGGCTCCGCGATATATCGTCGTATAATAGCACGGCTATTAAGGTTAGGATAAGTCAGGGAACTAGTCCTAGCGGCTTTAAGGGCGATAAGTCGGTCGAGTTTATGCTTCCGCGCCTCCGATACCTTAAACCATTTAATCCGTTCCCTAACCTATACGTTAGTTAGCTAGTCGTGGGGGATACCCTTATAAGGATAGGGTAGGCGGGACGGGGCAGGGGTAATAGGGGGTGCTATACGCTAAGGGGATAGGGGGTAGGGGTTAAGGTCTATCTCCGTCTAGGACACAGCTTAGTCACGTTATGCCTATATCATGGAGGCGCCTAGGCTAAAAGAATTATCGATATTTAGTAAAAGGTCGGAGGGGCTAACTATATTATAGGTCTTATTATTCTCGTAGGAGGATATCGTTTTCCTATCGGTACTCCTTAACGGTCCTTATACCTTTTAGAAAGGTAGAGCGATTATTATATTAGATAGGTAGTTATAAGGAGTAAGAAGATAATAGCGAGAGGGTCTAAAAGGGAATAGGCGTGGATTAAGTGGTAGTTATAGCTAGTCCGAATATAGGTGGCCCTAAAGAATCAGAATAATCGCTGCCCTCTCTATGCTAAGGAGGGGGTACTATATAAGCACTATATACTCCTAGGCTAACGCTAGGGTAGTTAAACAGATATTATAAACAGATATCTACGCCTAAGCCTAGGCCACGGCCCTATATAGTAGCATCGGCCCAGGGCAGCCGTGGCCACGTTAAGCCGGGCGCCCGGTCTTATCTATACGGGAACCCGTTGTGGTCCTGTCGTGTATCCGGCCTCTATCTCCTAGGCAGAGGCACCTAACACACCGATAGATAGGCTATTAATAGGAGGTCCGCGGTGATTAGGCTAATAAGTAATAAGTCCTCGCCTATAGATAGGTATATACCTATAAATTTATTAAGGAAGGTACCCTCCTTAAATATAAGGCACGTCTTATAGTATAAGGAGATTAATAAAAACGGTTAAAGACTAAAGATAACTACGCCGTAACGCTAGCCTCGCAGTCTTTCCGTATACTAATAGCGATCGCCGCCCGATTTAACCTAGAGATAAGGCAGTTTAACGCTATTAACGCGTTCGTTAACGCTAGCCTTAAAGAAGAGGTATTTATAAAGATACTATAAGGCTATAAAGTACTAGGTAAGGTACTACTCCTTCGGAAAGCCCTTTTCGGCTTTAGGGTATCGTTACTACTATAGTAAGAGGAATTTAGCGGCACGCTATAAAGGATAGGATTCACGGCTATACCTAATAACCCCATATTGTAATCCGCGACGGTTTAATCCTATTCTTCTACGTTAACGATATCGGACTTATATACTATAAAGACCGTAAGACTAACGCCGATAACCTTAAGGCTGCCCTTAAGCGAAGCTATAGGTTATTAGGAGGCGAAGAAATCCGTTAGTTCCTAGGAATTAAGGTTCTAAGGGATAGAGCCACCTATAGGTTATAGCTATTATAATCCTCCTATATAAAGAAGATCGCGGTTAAATACTATATAGATATACTCTGCCGAAAACTACTAAAAGTCCTATTATTAACGATAAAGCCACTAACGCCCCGCGACGGTATACGCGCGTCGATTCCCGAGGTCCGCTAATACTAGGGTATAATTAGTTCTATCCTGTATACCGTTATTATAATAAGGCCCGATATCGCGTTCGCCTATTTAAAGCTTTCCTAATATAACGTTAACCCCTCCTTTAACCACCTTAAAAGGGCTTAATACGTACTACTATTCCTATACTATATAAGATACCACTATCTAGAATTCGGCGGGGATAGGCTCTTTCTAATAATAAATAACGCGTCCTTTAGGGATAATCCAGACTATAAGAGTTCGTAAGGATATACGATAAAGCTTTTCGGCGGCACCGTTAACTAGAAGGCGGGTAAATAACCGATAGTCACGACGTCGTTAATAGAATTAGAACTACTCGCTCTTATAAAGGCCGCTAAAGAGATATTATTTATCAGCCGGATATTAAGAGATTTAGAGCTTCGGTTAGACTAATAATAACTATAGCTATACTACGATAATTAGCAGACTATTAACCTTATTAATAAAAAGGTATAACGCCTACGGATAAGGCTATAGTATATTAATACATATAACTAGTAGGCGCGCTAATTAGTATAATAAGGTCTTTTTAAGGTTATATACGTTAATACAAAGGAGATAATCGTAGACAGTTTAATAAAGGCATTACCGGAGGCGGGGATTAAAAGACTATAGTAATAGCTTAATTTAACGGATTAAAAGGATTATATCGAGTAATCTAAACGGCTATATAAAGAGATTAAACGCGTTAAAGCCACGGCTATAGCGACTACGAAGGCCTCTAAGGATATAGTAGATCCGATAGATATAGATCCGATTAAGTAGATCCGGCTAATCAGGATTAAGGAACTAATTAAGATAGAGTTAAATTAAACGGTTAAATAAGTCGGATTTAGATCCCTTTTATAAGGGCGTTTTTTCCCTCGACTATTAATTTTATAATAGAAAAGCTAAGAGTATTTAGTTTAAACTAAAGCCTCTAATTAGTTAGTTAATCTAAGAAGACCCACCTTAACTAAGGGGTGTATTATATAGGCAGGACCACGACGTAGTCTATAGGGGATTTAGGGGGGATCCACTCCCTAACTAAGGGCTTCGGACCTCGGGTATTAGGATATAATAGGGGCGGATACCGGAAAAGACCAGATAGGATCTAAATAATATAGTACCCATAACAGAGTCTTCACTACCTAAATTAAGGGTATAAGAGACTCACACAGATATAACTAAACATAATACACACACACGAGATTTCTACTCTACTAAGTTAATCATCCAAGTGCTATTTAACGTGCGATAGTTCTTTGCATGATATTGCGTATACGACAATAATAGATACAGGAATAACACAGATCATCCGATAGCATCAAAGCCGAGAACGTTGATCCCTTAACTATGAAAGTGCCCTTGTCCTTGATGACAGACGCTCTTCTGAAGATAAAAGAGGGGAAGGAGGCATAGCGATGGTAAAGGGAATCTCGAAGCATAAATGTGCGAATGCTACCCTCTTTCAAACACATCTGGCTGACAGTTTTATAGTGAGCGGCCCAATGGCGAAAATGTCTGACGATCGAACGGCGAACCCGCCGCCAATGCAGCCGGTCATCCTGTCCATGGAAGTGGATGATGACGATTCATTTGAGAGCGAATACCGACTGCGAATAGGAAATCAAGTCAAATATCTCACCATCTCTCCTGGAACCTTTGACAGAGATACGCTTTCATTCCCTATTCAGTCCCTGCCCCGTCTTCCTTACAACGAGGAATGGACCGTAGCCCACATCTCGAGAGACGAAACCAGTGGCGACTTGAAAACTTCCATCTCGAACCGAACACTAGCTGGCGTCAGGTGTCCATGGCATCATACTCGGGTTGATTGCCTAGAGTTGGAGAAGACCAAACAGCTCACGGTAATGGTTTTCGAAGCTGTCTCACATTCAGTTCTTCCAATTACCCTCATATCAACTGCCACCATAATTGCCAAAATAGCCCGTTTCGAGTGGGAGCTGCCTCGTATCGAACAGGAAACAAGAGCATATCAGTTGCTTGAGGGTTCCGGACTGGCCCCGCGCTTTCTTGGTCATATCCACGAGAATGGACGCATCATGGGCTTTCTCATAGAGAAAATAGAGGGACGCTCTGCCTCCTTCCAAGATCTGAGCATCTGCGAAACAGCTCTAGGGAAACTCCACAAACTGGGACTTATACATGGGGATGTGAACCGATACAACTTTCTCGTCACGGAAGAGGGGGTAAAACTACTCGACTTTGAACGCCTTCTGGAGAATGCCAGCCCCAAGTCAATGCGTAAGGAGTTGGAGCATCTACGTGCCGAATTAGTTGACGAGTCAGGACGCGGCGGAGGTTTCATTTTCCACGGCGATAACAATTGATACTGTCTGATTTAACGAGCTTAGTTGCTTGCCTACGGTAAGCCCCTAATACTCGCCCCTGCGGGGGGCTATCCCGCTATTCATGGGGGGGGGGCTTATTATATAACCTGCCCCACCACCACTAAATAACCGTAAATAACCGTAAAGCACACGCGTTCTTTTATTTTACTGCTATTTACTATTTTCTACGCTATAACGACCTTTTTTATTTAGTTTTTTTATTACCGTAATGAAGCCGTTCTCTATTTTTAATACTTAAATAGCTTTATTTACGGAATAAACCTTATAATTAATTAACCGTTATTATACCTCCTAGTACTGCTAAATAAATAGTTTTTTTATCCCTTTAACTATACCTCCCTCTCTTCCGTATTAAGACGTTAAAGTATTACCGTTATATAAGTTACGGGTATAAATATACGCGTTAACCCTATAAAAAGCGATAATACTAACCGTAATTCGTAATATACCTCCCGCCCTCTCCGACTCCCTTATCGATTTATAGGAATCACGGTCGCTATCCCCTACCTCGCCCTCCGCTAACCGCCCTATTAGGGGATATACGTCTAAACTAGACGAACTATTTTTTCCTTATCACGGTCGCTCTCTTTTTACCGCTCTATCCGCCGCCTCCTTTACCGCCGCCTTTACCGCTTTATCCGCCGCCGCCTTTACCGTCCCCTAACCCGCCCCCTAGCCCGCCTATAACCCGCCCGCTACCCCTAGTAGCTCGCGCGTCTAGAAGATAATACCTATAAAGGAAGGTTACACGGTTATCCGTAATAAAGTTATTAACCTTATTTATAATACCGGCTATAAAAACACTAAGGCGCTGATAACTATATAGGGCCTTAAGGTATATTATAAAAGACCGTTAATCTATATATTATACTAATGGTTATTAATAGATTAAGTATAACCTCGCGCCATAAGAAAATAAAAATCTTAACCTTAACCGCCCGGCTAACCGCGAGGCTATTATAATAACTCTAGTAGGTTGTATATAGAAAGACTATAAACACTATAATAATAAAGACGGACCGTTTATACGTTATTTTATAGTCCCTAATATCGCTAGCGGTAATTATAGTAACTACTACTTTAACTTGAAGGGTAATAAGTATTCTCTCCGCCCGGCTATTACTATTAATAGTAGTCCCCCCGCTATTACTCCTGCCTTTTTTAAAGGGAAAAAATATACGAATACGCCCGTAGGTAAGCTAATAGTAACCGTAATAACCGTTAATATACTAATTAATTAATTTATAATAATAGGAACCCTAACGCCTTTATCGAAAAAGACGAAAACCGTAGCTCCCGCGCCCGTGCCCGCTCCCCCCCTCCCCCCCCTATTATTATAATTACCGCCGGACTTTCAGGAATAAGTACGGTTATTATAGCGCCCCCCTTACCCGCCAAGCCCGCCTAGCCCACTTAGCCCGCCTAGCCCTTACCGGTTACCCCGCCTGTAATAACCTTTAGCAATATAAAGGTACTAGCTATAATACTCCTTACCAGTATAACGACGGCGTAGAAGAAGTAGTTAATCCAGTACTATAAGAATATAATCGCTGCGTTAGAGAATAGCCTCCCGGCGGAGGATTAAACTATCTTTTTTCTTTTTACTTTATTATCTTATAAAGGGTTTACGGTTATTTTATTTTTATATTCATAGTATGGCGGGAATAGGTTATTTACTTTATTACTTTATCTGCCCTTAGTATAGGCTATATAATACAAAATCCCGACCGTCTTTTCCATCTGCTAGTTACTATAATAGACTATTATACCTATAAAAGTGACTATTAAAAATCTATTAAGACCTCTGGGTATACGATATTAGATATACTCCGACTAACCTACGGCTAAGCCTACTTACCGCCCTGGCCGTTACTCCCGTAAGCGTGACTATTAAAACGATTATATTAAGACCTCTGGATATACGATATTAGATATACGTCGGCTAACCTAAGCCTCCTAACCGTTTTTACCGTTATTCGCCGGTAATAATACTAATAGCTTCCTAATATCCGTAACTCTTAATATCGTAACGTAAAATTAACCGTGAGTAAAGGCCTATAGCTGAAAATCCACGCCTACTATACTAAACGACTAGCCCTACGACTTATTAATCGTTATCGCGAAGCAGAGCCGTAAAGGGAACTAACGGCGGCGGATTATATACGGGAACTTGTTCTTATTAGAGTCTAAGTTAATACGGGGGATTGATTCTATAGCACCGGTATACGATCCGGATAGGACCTTTACCTCTAAGACGTTCCGGGCTATCTATAAAATAACTATCCGTGGACCGTTATAGAGCCCCCGCTTCGGGTTAAGGTTCCGTATAAGTATAATAGGGGCGCCGACCTTTAGCTTAAGATTAGCCGGCAGGATAGAAGAGAAGTCTAACTATATTAAATAGTCCGGGCCTAGTTCCGGGTTAAGACTATTAGTATCCTTTAGCCGATTAGCGACCGAATTCTAGGCCTAGTATATCTATAACCGGCCTAGTAGGTGCCCAAGTATCTATTCGTTAATCTCCGTAATAGTCGCGTTACAGATAGTTAGAATAACGCGGTCTACGAAGATTATATAATCCTATGGGGCCTAGTAAAGTAGGTATATTAGGTAAATCCGTGTATAGAGGTCGCCGGCGTTATATATAGCCGTGATAGCCGGGAAGAGATTAATAGACCCGTAAAGCTCGGGATTATAAAAGAGGTCCCGTAACCACTAAATAAATACCTGATTATTAGTATCAGTAGAGGTAACCCGTATATTCTACGTTAAGTAAAGGATAGTAAGTTTTGGCTAGAGACTTAATTGTTAGAAATAGGTATTTATAATCTACGCCCGACTCCTATTATAAATAATAGGTAGGATCTATAACGGCTTGTTAAAAGTTGTTTATGTATTACGGCCGAAAATATAGACTATTCGAACTAAGGAAGGAAAGGAGGAAAGGAAAAGTCTACGCGGTATACAGACAGCTAAGTATATAGAGAATCGCATAGGCCTTACTAGGAGGTCCGTGCTTCTTAGTCCCGGCCACTACCGGGGACTATTCCGCGGGCTATAGCCCGTAATATACCCCCCCCCCGCTAGAGGCGAGGTCGTGGTCGTGTTATAGTCGTACGGTTATAACCTCGCGTTACTCTAGCCTCCCCGCGTATAATCCGAAAAATAGCCTCCTTTATTCGCTTCTATTAAAGGCGCCCTCGAAGGGAGGTAATCCGTAGTAGCTAATATCCTTTTAAGGCTAGAATAGTATAAAGAAGCTCTTATATAGCGGTGCTATCGCGAGCCTTTCGCCGGTGTGCGTGCTCGTTATAAATAATATACCTACCGAATATATAACCGGGGGTTATTCCTTCTACCTAAATAGCTTAGGAAGGATAGTAAAATAAACCTCTTACTATTCCTTATTTTTCCCTATTTTCTTCCCCTTCTATAGCTTCTTTTTAGGTATTTTCCCGATTTCTTTTCAATTAAATTTTCTATACCATAAGTAGCCCCGAGATACCTTATAGGTCCCTTAATAGTATAACTAACGTCGCCGAGTAATAGCTCATTAATTAGGCCGCCCGTATTCTCCTTACTATAAGCTAGCACGCCCCTCGCCTATAGTTTAGCGCTATAGCTAACCGTTAATAGATATTAGACTTTACCTCCCCTAGTAAGCGCCCTTATAAGGGTAATAGTGATAATAATATAAATTCTGCCCGTGTTACTATCGGTTACGAGGTCGGCCGTAACTAATACTAAGTAGACTCCGACCCCCCCTCCTAAGAAACGCAGAGCCCCTAAAAACCCGCCCGGCCCTTGCCGCCTAGTTCCCTATACGTAATATACTATTTAGTAGTGTAAATAAGAATATAGTATCGAGTATTATTACTAATCGGGCCTTAGCGCGGCTAAGGCTAACGCTAAGTATTACGAGTATTCCTGCTAAACGTATAAATACTCCCTTATAAGTAATTCTTATTAGGTATATAGTAACTATAACTAATAGATAATATAGCTCCCTACCACCGCCTATAATGCCGCTAACGCCTTATAGGATACCGCTCGCGCTATAAATAAGGATAACGATAGTAAGAATATAAGTTTATATTAGCCTTTTATATACGACTTCTATACTAACTATCCATATAGAATCGCCGCTAATTCTAGGAAGTATATAGTTATTTCTAAATTACTCTTGGTTAGGCTAAATCGGGCTAAAGCATTAGTGGTTTTTAAAAGCTCCTACGCCCGTTATCGCCCTTACCCTTATCGCCGCTCCCGCCCCCGCTATTACTCTTACTCCCGCCGCCGCGCCGCCTACCGTTATCGCCCCGCCGCCCGCTACCGCCCCGTCCACTACTACTAAGTTCTAGATAAGAATAGTATAAGCCCTTAATAATATCGCCGCCTCTATACTTAGTATAGATAAGACGCTTAAGGAGGTATTATAGAAACTAAAGGATAAGAATAACGATATTACTATAATATCGTAAGAGGTTTATAACCTTTTTTACTTTATCTGCCGCGTATATAAGTACTATATAGCTATAACCCCCTTCGCTACTAGGGATAATCCGGGGGCTACTCCTAAGGCTATACTCGCCTTATCTCCTCCTTAGGAGGAGTTATAGGTAAGTACCGCTAAGGACGGTATAGCCTTATAAAAGGAGGAGCTAAAAAAGGGGAGATTATAGGGGAGTAGGTTATTTATATTATTTAGGTTATTTCGGTAGCCTTTTAGGGTTTTACTTAGTCTTTCCTATTCCTAAGTTAAGTAGCGCGGGGGTATACTCCTGATATAACTTCGCTGTTAGTTCTTATCCTCCTCGCCGCCGTATCGGCCTTCTTTCGCGTCCGTATCTCCTTCGTATACTATTATAAAGGCCTATTATTTAACTATACTAGGCTATACCTTTGCTTAAATTCGTTAAGCGCTTATATCTCCCGTATACTCTTAAGTAGTTCCTATATTAATTCTACGTAGCCCTCCTATTATACTAATACCTCACGGACCTTACCATGACCTCGCTTTTGGGTATAGCCGTAGAGGACTTCCTTTACTACTTATTCCTCCTCCCTATCCA